GGCAGTATGACCTCTGAAACGTTGGTAAACATCGACCAGACTACACAGCGCAACAACCCAGAAGACAGAAATCTTCATACTCACCGCCCTGATGACGGAGGCAGTATGACCTCTGAAACGTTGGTAAACATCGACCAGACTACACAGCGCAACAACCCAGAAGACAGAAATTTTCATCTTTTTCGTACTTGTGCATACAGAGGAGATAAATCAAAATGAAGTGAGTGCGTCTGAAGGCAGAGAGAGGCTCTGCTCTACATTTATGTGAAATGGCACCCCACCACACCCCGAAAGAGTGGCGGGGCCCCGTCATAACGTTGTACTTGTGACTCGGAGCCCCTTGCGTGATATCTCGACGTTTTTACTTGTGCAGGAAGTGGACTCAGGCCTCCGGGCTGTCTTCAATAAATCCTTTTTAATTGAGACAGAAGTTCCTCTAGACCTTTGCAGACAAAAACATAAAACTGCAATTAAGCGTCTTGGATGGACGGTGAGGGGATCCGGTACGGTTTTCAACAAGGTGAACAAAAATACGATTTTTTGTCAACAGAAATGAGCGGGCTAGATCCGTCTTAAAACTTCTCATTTGGAGGTTTATTATTTAGAGAGAACCTATAGCTAAGTGAAGCTAAATATTTGTCAGTTTCCCTCAGGACCGCTAGATGAAATTACTATTTTCACCTTTAAATATTCAACATTCCTTATTATACGCCATTGGTTATTACGCTAAAAACATTTCATGTTTACATTCTACAGCAGTTGATACAGGGTCTATAAATGACCACAACCCGGACTCCGTTTGTGTGTCTGTCAGTGAGGCTGAAGTATATGTGCTGAGTAAGTTCGTGACAACAGAAATGCTAATAAGACAATTTAGAAAGATAGTGGCAATTATATCGAACAAGAAAAGGCCTTGGAAATTGAATTTTTTTTTTTAAACAGTTAAGGAAAGCGAAGTTTAATGTTACGTGAAGCTCTCTGCGGTTTTCCTCTGAACGTATATGTGCCTACGGTTTTCAGAATCCTGCCCCTGGAGGGAAGTTCATCCTTGAATTACAATATCAACGGAAAACACATCACGAATTTGCTGAACACAGAATTGTACAAACGGACTAATAAACACAGGCAATCAAAGTCCTCCCTTCAAATTGTTACAAGTTTTTACGTTTGACTCAGACGTTTCAAGGAAGCCAGCGGCGTTCTGAAAAAAAAACCACTTCGTCAGTATTCGGGTTCTCGTTAAGGCTGCACCGTGCCCTTTCATTTCCAGAAACCTAAGAAGAAACGAAGTGGGCAATTCCCACTCCTAAGTCAAGCAGTCCTACGCATATTTTCCGTATTCGTTCTTAGCAATTCCGCGTATTCAATAATCTGAGGCGGTAGTTAATATATAAATTGCAGTCTTATGGGCTGTGAGCCATGCATTCTTTCAAGTGGTTAGCCTCGCTCTTGGTGTTCGACTCTCGAGGTAAGAGATGAGGTTCTGCACCGATACAAAGCAACGGACAGGATTACAATTTCGACTGTATCGAGACGAAGGACATAAGTTAAAGACAGAAAAGGTCGTAACTACGTCACCGGTAATGCACGTATAAGGATCACGCTTCGTTCTGAAAGAAATGAGAAAGAACCGCCTTAATGCAGGCTAAAGCTGCTCCCAGCCTGCAAAGCATTTCTACATGTTTCCTGTAACACGTAACAGGTACCCGCAGGCGGTTGTACAAGTCTGATGCACCTGCACATACATACATTACCCATAATCCCACCAATGATACTCCTGCAAAACAGATGGAAGATTCGTTTACTTTTTGTATTACACTCCCAATAAAACGGAACAGGTTCTGACAGCAGCGGACACAAACTGTCATGGCGTTTAACGCAAACCCAGGCTCCACCAACACGAGACTCAAAACTGCCCGTCTCTGCTATTAGACGATTGATTCATTTGTCTTATTACTTTCTAACGGCCTCTCAGACACTGGGATCGTGGGTTCGAATCCCACTCAAGGCATTGTCGTGCGTCTGCGTTCTTCTGTGCGGGTATCTGCCTTGAGACTGGCCGACTCACCTTCCAAGGGGTCCGGCCGAATGTCGAAGAGGGTACTAAAATTTAGCAGAAATATTATACAGAAAAGTCCAAGGCTCTGAGTAGGTTATATAACACATCTGTTGTGTGCGCGTTCATCTGCCTTCGAAATGACAACGGACACACAAATTCCAAGTTCGGTAATGATAAGGAACAAATTATTTGACATTTCAAGTAAAGATGTTTCCTAACTGCGCACCACAGAAAACGTAGAACAAGAAACGACAATCTTATAAGGAGTACAAAGTGTGTAGTTTTTTAAACTGAATGTCACGCTCCGAAAACAAGGATTTAGTGCGCAGGATAATGACAACCTAGACGATGAGACAAGCAGTTAATCTTGCAAAGTGGGGAAACGTAGACGGTATAATGAATATCGTCGTCAATTACAGTGTTCTCCAGAACACTGCTAGGATGATTAAATCACAGAGGACGATAAGGGTGGGATATGTAGCACGTATGAGAAAAACAACAAATTCATACAAAATTTTAGCCGGAAAATCCAAATGGCAGAGGTCATTTGAAAGACAGGAGAATAATATTAAAATATAGGAGACTTGGAGACTAATTAAATGGCTCAGGATAAGGTCCAGATTTTGTGATGTCATCTCCGATTCCACAACCGTAATAAATTTAGTAACTGGATGATTAATTATCAGATCTTCAAAAACACTGTTTAATGGAGATAGTAACATTGAAGAGGGAACTACTGGTCGATCAGTATGATAAATATGGGGCTTAAATTAAAATTATTTTTACTTGGACTGAATGCTAACCCAACGCACGCACCCTTAATGGTCCGGAGCAGAGCTCTTTTATTAGACGTACAACAGTTCCTGGTTTAGGGCGCACGCAGCTTCCGTTCGGAGTCCTTTACTCAAAAAGAAAAAAAGCTCCGGGACTGGATTTTGGAAATAATTTAAGTATCCGGACTGCCGTGTTCCCAGTCAGTGAGCCTTATAAGACAGCTGGTAATAATTCCAGCTGGCTGTGTCCTGAAGGCATTCCAAGGTAGCACTGAGATTATGAAAGACTTCCTTCATGTCTTCTTGTTAACTTGTCCATTGTTTCCTTGTGCACATTGCTCAAGTACGGACTTGTTTATGGAAGGCCTGATATCAATCCTTGTCGTGTCCCCTCGCTGCCAATTAGCTCGCATCAGAATGAGTGATGGCCGAGGCTGATCGCGAATACACAAGCATTTTAGCACGAATAAATCTATCAACTTGCAACACGCACACAGCAACTGAGCCCGAGATTTAAAGAGACAGAAAGATTTAGCGCCGAAGAGGAACGGCATTCATTAACGATAAGCCCCGTTTCAGTTTCAGACTTCTGACGATGAATTACTTAACCAACATGACGCAGTCCACCAAGATTACTCAACTACTCTGCCAAACGGACAAAAATGGAGAATAATGTCAGACGTAGGTTCTTCGTAGCGAATTTTTACAGGAAAAGTAAAAAACGCGACCGACAATCCATCGTGGCATGAACTTCTGATTTACTATTTGGAGCACAAATAGTGCGTTTTGCATGCAAGAACTGATAATTTCTTTTATGTGCAGCAGCAAGTCGTCACAGATCAGAGATCGGAGTGTCACCACTTTTTAGTATCGGTACCTGTACTCCATGAAATATGGCAACAAGCAACTTTCCTCTACAGCCTGCCCCTCTCAGTGAACATTTCCCTCACAAAGCGCATGACAGAGATCCACTTAAAACAGACAAGCTGTACCTACCTACCTACATGAGATCTGAGGTTTTCACGTCGTTGAACATTTTGACGGCGCTGTTGCTGGTTGTGACACCGTGTAGTCTAGTAGGCGGCTACCAACGTTTCGGAAGAACGTACCGCCTCCATCTCACTTCTACCCCGAATACAGAGGCGTTGGGAACTACCTATAACGCTACATGATGTCACAACCCACAATAAACTAAGCAAGTTAAAAAATGCGCGCTGAGTATAAAAATTCGGAAGTATTTGCCAGAATCTGGCCCCTGACCTTAGCTAACGGCGTCAGAGTTCATTAGGTCAATGACTCCACCTGTCTGACTGGGGACGACACCATCACGCGATATTCGTCCACCTGATTTGGCGGCTGACTGAGGATTCCTGACCCAGTCACGTGCAAGTTAAATAGGTCTTCAGGCCTGCATGGCGAAGGTAACAGGGGCGTATCTGGAAACTTGTTAAACAGATTCCGTTTTGCTCCATCCCTACCTTGCGGCCCGCCTTGTTGTTGTGCAGGTACGGCGTAAGCGACTCCGGCGCTAGAGACGGCGTAAGTGAAGGCGGCCTCGCGACTGCCTGTGGGGCAAAGCGGAGACACGCGTTACCATCGCGCACAAGAAAACTGAAACTGTGGGCACGTGTGAATGTTCCCTTGTAGCTCCAGAATGGATGAACCAATCGCCGCAAACTTGGCGTGGTTGTGCCCTGTAATCAGGAGGGCACTGAGGAAAGGTCACAGTTCCGAGAACTGTCCTGGGTTCGAATGCCAGTAAGATGGTTTCCGTATCTCGAAAACTAAGCGTGATAAAAATCTGCGACAAGACCAAAGTTGTCTTGGAGAGGAAACTACAAGAACAAGGGTCAAAACCCCCAAAACCTGTCCTGGGTTCGAGGTCTGGTGAAGATTTTCTGTACATTAAAACATAATCGCGGTAGGCAATTGTTCGACGACAAACAAAGTAAAGATGATAAAACAACAGGTCTAATACCAAAATTGTTCTATTTGGGGAGGAGATTATGACCCAAAAAACTTAGAAATGAATCAGCAGACTTCACCTGCAGCTCTCCGCCGCGCGCAGATGTTCTACGACGCGTAAGAACACGCACTAACTCATAGACCCACCGGCCAGCCTGGCGGCTCTGAATTAAAACGTCTTGAGAAATATGAGAGGCCATAATTTTCATCACTTCCTTTTCTGGTTTGTACACTCGCGGGTCGATAGAAAGTGTGGAGAAACACCACGCACTCCTTGTTACCAGGCTGCACGACATCTTGTTCAGGTACTTGGGGTCAATAGGAGACAGACCTAAGAGAAGGAGAGGGCCAACTGACACCGTCCTGACCAGAAATCACGGGAGGCCACAATGATGGGCAGTGCATGCAGCTCGGGAAGGACAAGAAATGAACGCATCCAGAATTCTGTCAGGGAAAATTTCATTGGGAAGACTGAGTTGCATATGGACGAAGTACACAAGTTAGCAAATACGTCATGAGGATGGAATGGTCCGGCATCGGACTGTTGAGATTTCGAGTTCTGATACCAGTCAGTTACAAAATAAAACGCACTACAAAAAAACGTGGGAATCTCGGGTGTAGATATCAGGATATTAATACAATAGATCTTAAAGATACAGCGTGTGGACTGGCTTGCTGTTGTGAATAAGGTAATGGATCTTTAGATTCCATAAAATGCAGGCACATTTTGACCAGATGGGCAACATTTAAACAAGCTATTTTCTTCACTTAGTTGGAATATTAAAGAGTTTCCTCACTAAAGTAGTCCTTATAACATGTGCGTCTTCCATAAATCTGCAAATCGCAAGTTTTATCATAAATCTGCAGGGCCCATCGCAGGCCTACAAGTTTTATATGGAGTGGTGTTGATAATAGTACATAATAGGGCTGAGGTAACGTGGCCAGTAAATTAAAGTAACTGGTTATGTTGTGGACGGCCGGGGTTCTGATTCCGGGGAAGGCGGGAAAGAAATCTCAGCTGCTGTGTGCACCAAGCCCCGTTCCCAGTGCACGCCGGTGGCCCATTCTCCGACAACAAGGCGGCCGAAACGTCAAGCTGACCACTTAACTCGATCTGTTGTTGAGGTCTAAAATTCGGGGAACGATACCTCTACGCCCCCATACGCCTTCACTGCGCGTTCCTTAGGCACGGGAACTACTGTAACAGTGCCACTACTGCCGCGATGGCTACCAGTGGCTATTAAGCGACTCGTTTAAAACCCGTGTCACGTCCCACACGCTCCTTCACATTTAATAGGTGGGTCACTCCAGATCTCTTAATTTATTACACAGTAATGAATGAATAAATCAGACAAAACGACGTCGTGCTGGACAGATGTAGGTCTGCCAACCTCACACACAGGGTGACACCGGTCTCATGTTTTACACAGACCCGAAAACGCGGCGGGATATTCCGTGTTTGGAACCAGCCCTGCTGGGTCGAACTTACAAAAAGTGCAGGACTATAACGCGCAAGGAGAGACAGCAAAGAAGAGAAAAGCTGTCGCTTGAGAGGGCCTGATTAAAGACAAAATTATGAGGGCACTCTATAGACTGAGCGGCAGCCTCGCCCACTCGATGACGTCTACGACTTCATAATATGAGGAAACTGGGAAGAAAAAATGTTTGTAAAACATATTTAGAAGTCAAACTGTCATTTGCATTCCCACAAGCGTGCGTGCAATACTGGCTCATCAGCAAGCGATAACTGCACGCTGGTTAATTCGTAAAATATGATCGAATTAAAGTACATCTGAACCTGTATAACGAGACAATTCAAAATAGAGCACGGTATTCTGAAACAGAGCTACCACAAAAGACGAAGTTATTTACTCACATCAGCCAGAAATTTCCTGAACGAGATATCAGTACCACAGAATAGCAATCTCGCAAAGAATAGATGGCCAATTAAAACGCGACAATCGGGGAGGTAGAGGGGAGTGACAACAAAGCTGACTGTAAGGTAACAACGTCCGAAGGCTCAACACTTCTCACATAAAAACTGTCATACGACAGAAAAGTGAGCTAGTGTAATCCAATCCACTTCAAGACGGCGTGTAACTTACATCAGAGGTGAACAAACTGGAAAAACTATGGCTTGTGACTTTGATTGGTCATTCGTAGAACAATATGGCCTTTAATTAACTCCCGCTTTCTCATGCACCCGCAGGGAAAAGTATCATAATATCGCAATATCGATACAAATCTCGATATGCACATTCTGGGGTTCCAGTAGGCTATTTACTATAGACCTAAGATTGGATACGAGAGTCCAGCGGGCAGACTCCAGACCGGGCTCAATCCGTGAACGCACCAAATTGCAATTTCCGTAGCATTGATCACCGACAAGCTATGTTCATCCAGCACAAATAACTTTTATAATTACTGAATTTTCCCCACCAGCCCCTCCGGCCCGCGGTCACTTATAAACAGCCCCAAGCAGCCCCCGAGTAAAATCAAGTGACTCTCCATCCTGTGTTAGACAAGATCTTTCAACCGCCCGGATCTTTGAGGTGGCAGCTGAAGTTTCACCACCGCCGATCTGCAGAGGGCTGCTTTACCGATGTTCGGGGCAAAATTCTGTTTCGTTTGTTTTCAGCTGTGCTCCTAACTCCACTGCTTGAGAAGACAGTCTGCAGTACGAAATCCCTCCCTCAGTCAAACGATTCTGTGCATGGGACCTGCCACTTTACAAGACCAAGATGCTGAGCTCAGAGCATCCCCACATCTATAGTTGGGTTATTACAAACATGACTGGTCCTCACCCCAACACAGCGGCAATTTCAACCAATCACAGCACTGGAGCATGTTCTGCGACTGGCTGCTGATGTTGTCATGGGTGGAGCTCTTGCAGTGCAGTGGGAACACATGCGCTGTGGTTCATGGCATTACTGGCATTACCGGATCCATGGGGCACATTACTTGTCTGAGACTCAATCTGACAGTCAGCCATCCGGCCAGAAAGTCTGTCAGTGAATATGTGTTCAATTCTGTCAATAGTCAATCAGTCTTCAACCAATCAGCCATTCAACTGGTCAGTCAGTCAGTGGTCATTCATCATCTACGTACGCATTATATCCGAACAAATGCATTATTGTGTGTTACGTTATCTGACGATTATCTGTTCATCAACTCGCTTTAAAAAGTCTGTTATTTCCACCCACTACCCTAAACCGTTTGTTAATGAAAATGAACGCTATGCAAGCTGCGACCCTTCTGTTATTGGTAAGGATACGAACCACAGGCGGCTTCACAGGAGTGCGGCACGAGGCAAGGTTTTAAATACGGATAACAAACAATACCACACACCTCATAACATAAGGGCGTATATAACTCAC